GCAGGAGTCCTTCTGTGGGTACACTATTTTTTTTTTTTTTTTTTTTTTTTGAGACGGAGTTTCGCTCTTGTTGCCCAGGCTGGAGTGCAATGGCGCGATCTCGGCTCACCACAACCTCCGCCTCCTGGGTTCAGGCAATTCTCCTGCCTCAGCCTCCTGAGTAGCTGGGATTACAAGCACGCACCACCATGCCCAGCTAATTTTTTGTATTTTTAGTAGAGACGGGGTTTCACCATTCTGACCAGGATGGTCTTGATCTCTTGACCTCGTGATCCACCCGCCTCGGCCTCCCAAAGTGCTGGGATTACAGGCTTGAGCCACCGTGCCCGGCCGGGTACACTATCATTAAGAGCCCTTTTGGCAGGCACGGTGGCTCATGCCCATAATCTCAGCACTTTGGGAGGCTGAGGAGGGCAAACCTCAAGGTCAGGAGTTTGAGACCAGACTGACAAACATGGTAAAAACCCCATCTCTACTAAAAATACAAAAAGTAGCCAGGCGTGGTGACATGCACCTATAATCCCAACTACTTGGGAGGCTGAGGCAGGAGAATCGCTTGAACCCGGGAGGCGGAGATTGCAGTGAGTGGAGATCGTGCCGTTGTACTCCAGCCTGGGCAACAGAGCAAAACTTCATCTGGAAAAAAAAAAAGCTTTTTCTACATGTAAGCTTAATATCTTAATTTGTTGCTGAAGCAGGTTACCACCACCAGGGAGGTCGGTACATTCATAAGCAGTGATGTTTATAAGCATCTAGATTACTGGGGAGGGGAATATCATTCCAGATGGTGAATGAAATTAATGGCAACCCTTACGTGCATTTCCCTGTCCAATGTGGGGGCAGTTATTGCCACCCATAGGATCTGCATACCCAGAGGGCCCCTCAGCGGATAGCAGTGCAGCTACTGCAATTATAGTGTACTAATGTGTAATTAAAATAGGAAAGAGACTGTGTTTCACTGAGGGCAATGTTGATTTGGAGTATGTGTTGACAATTGTCTGGGGAAACCCCAGAATAACTTTAGAAGAGCCATTTAGGCCTCCAGACAAAGGGGGCGCTATATGGAATCTGGCCAACAGCACAGCATCTTTCCAATATATACTGTTCCAGGCATATTGGGCAGGATATCAAGGCTTTTCACAAATGGACAGGGTTTAGTTCACCTTTTGTTTGACTTAAGCAAAGCTAAATTGCTTAGTGTGGTCAAGGAAGTCCAGAGTGGATTGCAAGTGTTGTTGTTGTGGCCCTATTAGTAATGATATAGTTATTCAGAAATGTTGCCATGGACAATTCTCTAAGGTAGCCCATTCCTGGTGGCCTCTGACAGTTCGACCTGTAGCCAGCATTGACTGCAGTTGGGTTTTGTTGCAGCTGTGGCTACCCAGTTTAATTTATTCTTGGACTCAGACACAGACACAGGTGCTGATGATTAGTAAATAGGCTATTCCCTGTAATAGCAAAAATGGAGGGAAACATCGTTTTTCATCTTTAGGACATTGTACTATACCTTTATTTTTTGCTCCCATAGCTATCAGGTCACTAGCATTAGGGGCAGGGTCTGATGGATGCTGTACCCATATTTTGGCTACAGGATTTAAGTTACCTTTACCAGTGGATCTGAATTCCCCAGTTCTGTATGTAGCCTGTGTCGGGGCAGAGATTTCCTCAGCGGCTAATTGTTGACAAAGTGTCCCTAACAATTGAGCAACCCAAATCTACAGTTTTATAGCAAAAGAATCTGGAGTGGTATTGTATAAAATGACCTTTAACTCTCCCCAGTAATCACTATCAATTTTACCATCATACATTATAATACCTCTCAGTGCAAGGCTTGAACATGTTGTAATTCATTCATCTGCATTCAAGTTTGCAGTTATGGTAGAAATTGTGGCCTGTTGCCGGGCGCGGTGGCTCAAGCCTGTAATCCCAGCACTTTGGGAGGCCGAGGCGGGTGGATCACGACGTCGAGAGTTCGAGACCATCCTGGTCGACATGGTGAAACCCCGTCTCTACTAAAAATACAAAAAATCAGCTGGGCATGGTGGCGTGTGCCTGTAATCCCAGCTACTCAGGAGGCTGCGGCAGGAGAATTGCCTGAACCCAGGAGGTGGAGGTTGCGGTGAGCCGAGATCGCGCCATTGCACTCCAGCCTGTGTAACAAGAGCAAAACTCCGTCTCAAAAAAAAGAAAAAAAAAAAAAAAAGAAATTGTGGCCTGTTGCTCTTCCTGTTAATTAAATAGTCTGTCAAGAGAAAGCAGAGATGTATGAGCAGCAACTTGGAACCAACAGGACCAGGCATGGTGTCTCACACCTATAATCCCAGCACTTTGGGAGGCTAAAGTGGGTGGATCACAATATCAGGAGATTGAGACCTTCCTGGCCAACATGGTGAAACCCCATCTCTGCTAAAAATAAAAAAATTAGCTGGATGTGGTGGCACGGGGCTGTAATCCCAGGTACTCAAGAGACTGAACAAGGAGAATCGCTTGAATTGAGGAGGCAGAGACTGCAGTGAACTGAGTTTATGCCGCTGCACTCCAGCCTAGCAACAGAGCTAGAATCTGTCTCAAAAGAGAGAAAAAAAAAAAAATTGAAAAAAGTGATAATGGTAGTGTGCTCCAGGATTCAGATATCTTTCCAGTATTGTTTTCCCCAATCCTTTTAATTCCCAATTAACTATTTGTTTCATTTCCATTGGGGCATCCAGGTAGTAAGACCATTTGCTACTGACCAAAAGTTGGTATACGGTGACAAATCCCTCTGGGCTCCTCCTGAATAGCTTGAAGGACCACTACTAGTTCAGCTAACTGGCTGCTCCCACTTCTTTCATCAGAATTGCCTATGTTTTTAACAGGATTATAAGCCAAGGCCTTCAAGCATGGTGTCCCAGCATTGTATTTGTCAGATCCATTAGTAAACCAAGCATGTTTCTGATCCTCTGTGCTTAGTATTTTATTTTTATTTATTTTTTGAGATGCAGTTTGGCTCTTGTTGCCCAAGTTGGAGTGCAATGGTGCAATCTCAGCTCACTGCAACCTCCACCTCCTGTGTTCAAATGATTCTCCTGCCTCAGCCTCCCGAGTAGCTGGGATTACAGGCACATGCCATCACACCTAGGTAATTTTTTGTATTTTTAATATAAAGAGTTTTCACCTTTTTGGCCAGGCTGATCTCGAACTCCTGACTTTAGATAATCCACTCGCATCGACCTCGCAAAGTGCGGGGATTACAGGTATGAGCCACTGTGCCTGGCTTGGTTAGCTCTTTTTTTTTTTTTTTTTTTTTTTTGAGACTGAGTTTCGCTCTTGTTGCCCAGGCTGGAGTGCAATGGCATGATCTTGGCTCGCTGCAACTTTAACCTCCCTGGTTCAAGCAATTCTTCTGCTTCAGCCTCCTGAGTAGCTGGGATTACAGGCACCTGCAACCACGCCTGGCTAATCTTGTATTTATAGTAGAGAAGGGATTTCTCCATGTTGATCAGGCTGGTCTCAAACTCCTGATCTGCCTCAGCCTCCCAAAGTGCTGGGATTACAGGTGTGAGCTACCATGCTTGGCCCTAAATGATTTTTTCTATCTCCTATAACAGTTTGAAATTACTTAAAGGTTGTTTCAAATTTAAAAAAAACTAAAAAGAGGCCAGGCGCGGTGGCTCAAGCCTGTAATCCTAGCACTTTGGGAGGCCGAGGTGGGTGGATCACCAGGTCAAGAGATCAAGACCATCCTGGTCAACATGGTGAAACCCCGTCTCTACTAAAAATACAAAAAAATCAGCTGGGTATGGTGGCGCGTGCCTGTAATCCCAGCTACTCAGGAGACTGAGGCAGGAGAATTGCCTGAACCCAGGAGGCGGAGGTTGCGGTGAGCCGAGATCGCGCCATTGCACTCCAGCCTGGGTAACAAGAGCGAAACTCCGTCTCAAAAAAAAAAAAAAAAAAAAAAAACAATTGTTAAGAAGAAAATCATCTTGTACTTTGGTAGTAGTATATTATCAATACTGAAGCTAATTTTAATAAAACCTTATAAATAAACCAAATTTGTCATTTTTTTCCACTCTAGATCACAGATGTATTTTGTAATATTTGTAATTATTTTAACGTTTTATATTTTATTTTTACCTACATTCTTTTTAGTTTTTTATTTATGTATTTATTTATTTTGAGACGCAGTTTCGCTCTTGTTACCCAGGCTGGAGTGCAATGGCGCGATTTCGGCTCACCGCAACCTCCGCCTCCCGGGTTCAGGCAATTCTCCTGCCTCAGCCTCCTGAGTAGGTGGGATTACAGGCACGTGCCACCATGCCCAGCTAATATTTTGTATTTTTAGTAGAGACGGGGTTTCACCACGTTGACCAGGATGGTCTCGATCTCTCGACCTCGTGATCCACCCGCCTCAACCTGCCAAAGTGCTGGGATTACAGGCTTGAGCCACCCCGCCAGGCTTTTTTTTTGAGAAAGAGTCTTACTCTGTCTCCCAGGCTGGAGTGCAATAGTGTGGTATCGGATCACTGCAACTTCTGCCTCCTGGGTTCAAGCGATTCTCCTGCCTCAGTGTCCCAAGTAGCCGGGACTACAGGCACACGCCACCACACCCAGATAATTTTTAGTAGTGACAGGGTTTCTCCACGTTGGTCAGGCTAATCTCAAACTCCCGACTTCAGATGATCCGCCGGCTTCAGCCTCCCAAAGCGCTGGGATTTCAGGCGTAGCCACCGCGCCCAGCCCCAAAATTTTATGTATTATTAATATGACAACAACATACTTCTGTTCACCTTTTGAATACATTCAAAGAGAGAGAGAGAGAGAGTAAAAAAACATAATTTTCTCATGTTCTGGAGCGGCCCTGGCTCAGCTCAGGGAGGAATCCCCGCCTGAAAAGGCTGCAGCCTAGGCTGTCACTCTTCACTCAGTTTAGCACCTGATCACATTTTCTGTCACTCAGGGCTTGAGGGGGCGGGGACTTAAGCATTATCCAATCAGGGACGCTTGGCTGGAAACTGTCCAATCAGGCACCCAGCTGGAGCGACCTGAACGGCTTCCGGGCTTGGCGGGCCTTTGTCTCTCGCTGCAGCTGGCGCTCCAGGTTGCGTTTTTACCGCTCTGTGTCTTCTGCTCCTAGAGACCCAGCCTCTGTGGCCCTGTGACCTGCAGGTATTGGGAGGTCCGCAGCTAAGACACTGGGACCCACTGGAAGCCTAGAAATGGTGAGAGTGCTGTGTCGACATCCCGAGAGAGGGGAAGGACTTGTTGGAACCGGTGGGAAGTGGCTGTAGCGGGACGCAGGCCTCCCCGCTGTCAGTCCCTCAATCTGCGCCCTAAGTTTTCCTTGCCTGACTCAGCCTCAGTTTCCTTCAGCCATAAGATGGCGGCTGCGCTGACAGCCGGTTCCCCGGCGTCCTGTCTCTTCCCTACGCAGTGACTGTGTCCCGACCTGGAGCCCTCTCTGGGCAGCTCTGCACCGGCAGTGCCGCGTCTCTTCCCAGTTTGTGCAGGGACCACGGGAGAGTCGTCAGGGGATACTCCTGACTCGGGGTGCGGGTTTATGAATTTGGTCCCTGGGGTTCAGAGATTCCCTTTTCTCTTATTAAAAATTTATGCCATGGCTCATGCCAGTTGGCTCATGCCTGTAATCCCAGCGCTTTGAGAGGTGGAGGCGGGGCATCACTTGACGTAAGGCGTTGTTAGGACAACGAAGTTTCTCTTCCAAGACTCGACTTCCTGGTCATAAGTTGTAAAAGTTGTATAAATCATCCCGACCCTGCTTCCCCCTTCTCCTTTTCTCGCAAAATCCCGCGTTTACTCTACTTGGAAAAAGTTTGGGTCTAAGCCAACAGTGATTATCTTAGATTGTACGGTCTGACCCCAGCCAATAGGGGAAAGACCCTTTACTGGCCGGTAGTGATGGCTCCCGCCTGTAATCCCTGCATTTTGGGAGTCCGAGATGGGTAGATTACCTGAGGTCAGAAGTTTGAGACCAGCCTGGCCAACCAACGTGGGGAAACCCTGTCTCTACTAAACATAGAAGAAAAAAAAAATAGCTGCGAGTGGTGGCAGGCGCCTGTAATCCCTGCTCCTCGAGGGGCTGAGGCAGAAGAATTGCTTGTACCCCGGTAGGGGAGGTTGCAGTGAGCCGATCGTCCCCTTGCATTCTAGCCTGGGCAAGAAGAGCAAAACTCCGTCTCAAAAAAAAAAAAAGGAAGAGCCTTAAAATCGTCTTCCCTTATGTAAACACTGTGTTTGAGTAAGTTCACTGGTTTTTTTTTTTTTTTTTTTTTTTTTTTTTTTTTTTTTTGAGACGGAGTTTCGCTCTTGTTACCCAGGCTGGAGTGCAATGGCGCGATCTCGGCTCACCGCAACCTCCGCCTCCTGGGTTCAGGCAATTCTCCTGCCTCAGCCTCCTGAGTGGCTGGGATTACAGGCACACGCCACCATGCCCAGCTAATTTTTGTATTTTTAGTAGAGGCGGGGTTTCACCATGTTGACCAGGATGGTCTCGATCTCTTGACCTTGTGATCCACCCGCCTCGGCCTCCCAAAGTGCTGGGATTACAGGCTTGAGCCACCGCGCCCGGCCAGTTCACTGGGTTTTTCAAACACTTAGATTTAAAAACCAAGTAAATAACTCTGACGTGGAAATTAAAGCTTGAACCTAGTGACTCCAAGCTAAAGCTAATATCAAACTTGCAACTGGAGGTTTTGTGTTTTTTGTTTGTTTTGTTTTTTGAGGGCATTTTGCTCTTGTTGCCCAAACTGGAGTGCAATGGAGCAATCTTGGCTCACTGCAACATCTGCGTCCCTTTTTCAAGGTGTTCTACCTCAGCTTCTGGAGTAGCTCGGACTACAGGCATGCACCCTCATGTCCAGTTAATTTTATGTTTTTAGTAGAGATGGGGTTACTCTATGTTAGTCAGGGTGGTCTCAGAACTCCCGACCTGAGGTGATCTGCCCACTTTGGCCTCCCAAAGTGCTGGGATTCCAGGTGAGAGCCACCACACCTGGCCCTAAATGATTTATTTTTATCTCCTATAGTAGTTTGAAATTACTTAAAGGTTGTTTCAAATTGAAAAAATAAAAAGTGGATAAAGATAAAATATAAAAAGTTAAAAAATTACAAGAGATTACAAAATACATATGTAAAAATGTGAGTGATCAGAAATGTGATCAGAAATGACAAATATATTTATAAGGATTTATTAAAATTGGCTTTAGTATTGATAATACACTGTTACCAAAATAAAAGTTGATTTTCTCTTTTTTTTTTTTTTTTTTTTTTTTTGAGACAGAGTTTCACTCTTGTTACCCAGGCTGGAGTGCAATGGCGCGATCTCGGCTCACCGCAACCTCTGCCTCCGGGGTTCAGGCAATTCTCCTGCCTCAGCCTCCTGAGTAGCTGGCATTACAGGCACGCACCACCATGCACAGCTAATTTTTTTGTATTTTTAGTAGAGACGGGGTTTCACCATGTTGACCAGGATGGTCTTGATCCCTTGACCTCATGATCCACCGGCCTCGGCCTCCCAAAGTGCTGGGATTACAGGCTTGAGCCACCGCGCCCGGCCCTGATTTTCTCTTGAACAAAAATTTTATGTGTTACTTATATGACAGAAAATTCTTCTGTTTCCTTTTTGAATACATTCAAAATGAGGGAGAAAGTAAAACAGAGATGAAATTTTCCCATACTCTGGGGATGGACCTGGCTCATCTCAGGGAGGCTGTTTGTAAAGGCTGCAGCTTAGGCTGGCACTCTTACTTTCTCTTTCTCTTTCTTTTTCTCTTTTTCCTTTTCCTTCTTTTCTTTTCTTTTCCCTTCCTTCCTTCCTCCCTCCCTCCGTCCCTCCCTTCCTTCCATCTTCTTTCCTTCCATCTTCCTTCCTTCCTTCCTTCTCTCCTTCCTCTCTCTTTTATCTTTCTTTCTCTTTCTTTCTGATGGAGTGCATTGCATAACATTGTTGAAAAGATTTGTTTTCTGTTTGTAAATATTTTCCATGAGAAGAAAGCAGAGAATAATCCTCTGACACTGTATTGTAAAAAATCTGTGACTCGGCCGGGCGCGGTGGCTCAAGCCTGTAATCCCAGCATTTTGGGAGGCTGAGGCGGGTGGATCACGAGGTCAAGAGATCAAGACCATCCTGGTCAACATGGTGAAACCCTGTCTCTACTAAATATACAAAACATTAGCTGGGCATGGTGGCGCATGCTTATAATCCCAGCTACTCAGGTGGCTGAGGCAGGAGAATTGCCTGAACCCAGGAGGCGGAGGTTGCGGTGAGCTGAGATCGCACCATTGCACTCCAGCCTGGGTAACAAGAGCAAAACTCCGTCTCAAAAAAAATAGAAATAAAAAACGAGGCCGGGCGCGGTGGCTCAAGCCTGTAATCCCAGCACTTTGAGAGGCCGAGGCGGGTGGATCACGAGGTCGAGAGATCGAGACCATCCTGGTCAACATGGTGAAACCCCGTCTCTACTAAAAATACAAAAAATTAGCTGGGCATGGTGGCACATGCCTGTAATCCCAGCTACTCAGGAGGCTGAGGCAGGAGAATTGCTTGAACCCAGGAGGCGGAGGTTGCGGTGAGCCGAGATCGCGCCATTGCACTCCAGCCTGGGTAACAAGAGCGAAACTCCGTCTCCAAAAAAAAAAAAAAAAAAAAAAGAAATAAAAAACGACTTACAAAGTAAAACACACCTGGGGCACTCACTCGGGCATAGTGCAGTGTCTCCTGGGAGGGTGTTTATTGAGCATGTAAGTGAACAGGATGCTGTGGGAGACTGTATCTGTACCTTGAAAAGATTCCTTCACTTATTTTGGCCTCAGGTTTTGTTGTTGTTGTTGTTCTGTTTTGTTTTTGTGAGACAGCCTCACTGTTGCACTGGGCTGGAATGCAGTGGCTTGATCTTGGCTCTCTGCAACCTTCATCTCCTGGGTTCAAGAGATTCTCATGCCTCCGCCTCCCGAGTAGCTAGGACTACAGGTATGCACCACTGCACCCAGCTAGTTTTGTATTTTTAGCAGAGATGGACCAGGCTAATTCCAAACTTCTGGTCTTAAGTAACTTGCCTGCCTTTGCCTCTCAAAGTGCTGGGATTAAAGACTGAGCCACTGCACCCAGCTGCATTAGTTTTTTTTAAACTGTAATTTGCACTTTATTAGTAGGACTTGAAAAATAAGAAAATATTTACAAAGGACATAAAAGAGATGAGTTTTAAAAAGCATTTAATCATATATTCCATTTTAAAAATAATTCTTATTTTCCTTTTTCTTTTCCAGACTGAGTTTAGAAATTTTCTCGGGTGTGTTTTTTATAGCTGAGTGATTTCAAACAGAATTCCAAGCCTTAGCTTTAAGAATGCTAGCTACCAAGGAAAAAAATAGGAAAAATCTCTCTTCCATTTTGGCTGTAGACAATGAATATATTTCCACAGAAAAATGCCTTAGTTAACTGATGAGTTACATAGATTAATCAAAACATTAGTTCTTCCTTTGCAAGGGTAAATTTGTGATAATGAATATCTCGGTTCTATATTCTGTTGTCTTGATTTCTAAGTTTAATGCTAAATTTTATGTGATGAAATGTGGTATGTTCTAGAAGTGTTCCCATATGACTAATTTTTTACTACATTATTTTAAATAGAAATAATAATGCGGCCGGGCGCGGTGGCTCAAGCCTGTAATCCCAGCACTTTGGGAGGCCGAGGCGGGTGGATCACGAGGTCGAGAGATCGAGACCATCCTGGTCAACATGGTGAAACCCCGTCTCTACTAAAAATACAAAAAATTAGCTGGGCATGGTGGCGCGTGCCTATAATCCCAGCTACTCAGGAGGCTGAGGCAGGAGAATTGCCTGAACCCAGGAGGTGGAGGTTGCGGTGAGCCGAGATCGCGCCATTGCACTCCAGCCTGGGTAACAAGAGCGAAACTCTGTCTCAAAAAAAAAAAAAAAAAAAGAAATAATAATGCATATATTGTCTGAAAGAAGTAGATATATTTGCTTTTCTTATGGAGGTATAAAATGCAAGCCCCTTATCCAGGTGCAGTGGCTCACGCCTGTAATTTTAGCACTTTGGGAGGCCGAGGCGGGTGGATCACGAGGTCAAGAGATCGAGACCATCCTGGTCAACATGGTGAAACCCCGTCTCTACTAAAAACACAAAAAAATTAGCTGGGCATGGTGACGTGTGCCTGTAATCCCAGCTACTCAGGAGGC